ATGTCTTGAGGGCGCGGTGAAAAGATAGGAGGTCCGGAATCGTCCGGATCTCGGGGGGTAGTTCGTTCCAGAGGGTGGGGGCACCCACAGAGAAGGCCCTCCCCCTGGGGGTCGCCAGCCGACACTGCTTGGCCGACGGCACCCTGAGGAGGCCCGCTCTGTGGGAGCGTACCGGTCTGTGAGAGGGAATCTGTGGCAGTCAAATGCTTCCTTGACCCGCTCCATGCTTGAACTTAATGTGAGGAACAAATAATATTAATGTGAGGAACAAATAATATTCACATTTCTGCAGTGAAATGACAATAAAATACCTTGGTTTTCAGAAGAACCTACCTTTACCTTTACCTATTTTGAAAAGAAAACTTGAAAGGGGTCGATCGGCAAAATCTTGTGAATGGTTGATCACGCTTTCCTTCATCGCATGAAATCCAGAAATGACTACTATCGGTTTACGCCACAACCACACAGTGTAAATGTCTCCATATTTCTTCCTCAGCTGACATTTGGGGCAGAAAAAGAGAAAACAGCTGGGACTTTATAGCAGATGAACCTGCATCACGTTTATATTGACAGGAGTTAGAATTACTATCCCATCTCCTCTTGTGATCAAAAATGATCTATTTCTGGAGAGTTTTAGATTAGATGGCAAAGAACACCCAAAGATGCTTTTTCACGAGGCAACTGGACTTTCTTGTTTTTCTTTGAAGACATTTCGCTTCTCACCCAAGAAGCAGTTCTTCAGAAGCTCTGAAGAAGCTTCTTGGATGAGAAGCAAAACGTCTTCAAAAAACCCCCCAAGAAAGTCCAGTTGCCTCATGAAAAAGCCTCTTTGGGACAATTATGACCAGGATAACTGAGAATCTCTATAGACATGGCAAAGAAGAGTTCCAGACAAATTGGGATTTCCTCTCCGAATAGTTTGGGTCCCTTCTCTGCTTTCCTAACCCACTTAGGTCCTGGAGTGCATAAATAAGAAACAGCCATGAGGTCCAGCTAAGCAACAATCAGAAGATTTTAACCTGCCATTATCTAGACCAGGGGTCTTCAAACGTGGCCCTTTTTATGACTGGTGGACTTCAATTCCCAGAATTCCTCAGCCAGCATGCTGGGAGTTGAAGTCCACAAGTCACAAAAGGGCCAAGTTTGAAGAGCCCTGAACTAGACCAATGGTTATCAACCTTTTCTTCACTATGGACCCCCTTTAAATACCTGTTCACAAACCATGGCCACGGACCCCCAAGACTTCACTCAAGATTTAAGTCATAACATTTCTTCAAGCCTTCACAGATCCCCTGTGATGACATTGCAGCCCCTCCCCCCATGGTTGAGGGACCCCAGGGCTCCTCTATGGACCACAGGCTGAGAACCACTGATTTAGATGGTTTCTCGATGGCAGAATCTGTGAAGTTTGTCCCAAAGATGTTCTTTCAAAAAGCAACTGGACTTTGTCTTTCCTTGAAGATGCTTCACTTCTCATCCAAGAAGCCTCTCCAGTACTCACTGAACTGAACGGGCTGAACTGACGGTCAGAACCGAAGAAGCTTCTTGGATGAGAAGCAAAATGTCTTCAAGGAAAAATAAAGTCCAGTTGCCTTTTGAAAAAGCACCTTTGGGACAACCATGGCCTGGATGACTGAGAATCTCCATAGATCATCTGTGAAATTGTTTCAGAAGACCTATTGACCACTTGGAAAACCGGAAGTTGGGTCAGAAGAAGCCATGCTCAGCCCAAGAGTTCCGATAGCTTTTTCCATCAAGTGGCTCTTCGCCTTTGAATGTCTCTCTGAATTTGAATGCAGCTTCTTAGAGCTCCTTCCTGCTTTAGTCCCTCTCCTGGTTTTATCTGTTTTACCTACATGCATATGTCAACTTCGAAGGGGATGGACAATGCTAGCGCCAAACATCTAAAACCACATGGGATATATGAAGGTTTGGGGAGGAGTCCATTTTAGACCAAGCTGCTTTCCTCCTGAATTAAAGGCAGGAGGCCATATCAGTGAGGCTGTGAAGAAACATTCAGTTACAGCCGAAGCAGGGGGCTGGACTAGAAGACCTCCAAGATCCCTTCCACCTCTATTCAATTCACTTTATTTCACTGCTAAGTGCAGTACTGTAACTACAGTAATTACAGGAGTGGCCTGGTGGCTCAGAGATTAATTTGCTGGGCTTGTCAGCTGGAAAGCTGGCAACCCGGGTTCGAGACTCAAGTGCCACGTGACGGGGTGAGCTCCTGTCCCCACCCCAGCTCCCGCCAGCCTAGCAGTTCAAAAGCATGCAAATGTGAGTAGATAAATAGGTACCACTTTGGTGGGGTGAAAACCTGGCTCTGGTGAACCTTGCTTGGGAAGAACACGCAGTTAACACGCTGAAAGCCCCCCTCCCCCTTCACCTTTTAATTAATTTTTAACATTGTTTTTAATCAACCTTGCCTTTGTGGGAAGTTAACCCAGAGAAGGAAATATTAAAAAGGCAGGAAAAAAATATTGTTCACCAAAAGGATTTTTAAAAGCATTTCTTGAAAAGCAGAAACCAAACCTGGCCTCATCTCCTTGCCCAGGGCAGTAGCTGGTCTTATACATATGCAGATGTGGAACCATCAGGAAGTTTGGAGCCAGGGATCTCAAGACAAAAGAAGCTCTTAAGAGTCATTAGCCCCATCACCTGGGAAGCAGGATTTGATAATGGGATTAAACCACAGATATCAAGGCCTAGAAAAACACTCAGAAATATCCTCAAAGTTCATGCCACAGGAACAGGAAACTACTCCAAGCAGGGCTGGGAGGGGGTATAAAAAGACCTTCTACCCATGTGCTCGCTCTTTTTTCTTCTCCTCTGCTGCTTATCTGTCTTCTGCAATAAACTGTAACCTTCTTCCCAAAGCAGTCGCCATGTTTGCTTATTTATTCCCGGCTTGGATGAACCAGGATGAAGACTTACTTCTAACACCTTTTACGTTTTAACTCTTATATACTGTTTTTATCTTTTAGAATTTTATTGGGCACTGCCCAGAGTCCTGACAGACAGACAGACAGACAGACAGACAGACAGACAGACAGATAGATTACCTTAGGGAAAGTATCCATAGACAACTTGGTCCCAATCTGCCAGAGTCCACCAATGAAAGGAAGAGGAAGAGGACCAGGAGGGTAATGTCTGCTTGACCAGAGCAGCTTTGCAAAATCCAGGATCAGAAAACCCACCAGCAGAGCCGTGAGAACTTCCCAGATCCCTGCCATTCTTCAGCTTTCTCTTCTGCTTTCTGTTGCAAACTAAATCTCTCCTTGGTTCCGCTGCCAATGGTTATTTGCATAATTGCCTTTTTGAGCGTTCCAAAAACCTGGTCTGGATCTTGGAATTGATCTGTGCCAAACCTTTCTATTTCAGAGACAGTAAAACCAGTTATCCATATAAATCCTGAACATTTCAACTAGAATAGCCCCCAGGTCCCTTCTAACTTTGTTATTTTGTATTCTGTTTCTCAAGTGCATCCTCTGGGCCCCTCTTAGTTCATTCTGCATCAAACTGTTGTTGCCGTGAAAAAAGTTAAAGATTGTATGATAAAGTGGGCGCAGAATATTCAAGAGGTGATTCTATTGGATACATGGGAGACAATTTGGGTAAGAAATGTAAAATTTACTCAAGCACAAAATTTAAGAGAAAATTTTTATAAGATGTTTTATAGAAGGCATCTGGATCCTCAAAAACTGTCACGCATGTATCCTAACTTACAGCCCAAATGTTGGAGATGTGGAAGTTTAGATGCAACCTACTTCCATATTTGGTGGACATGTAGGGATATAAAGGCATTTTGGATCAAGATTTGGTGGAATATTCAAAATATTTTTAAGAAAAAGATAACGTTTACACTGCAGTTATTTTTGTTAGGTATTATGGGAAATTTGGATGCCAGAGAAATGAATCTGATGTTGAATCTTACAACAGCTGCAAGATTATTGGTAGCTCAATATTGGAAGACGGATGGTTTGCCTACTGTAGAAGAATGGTCGATTAAAGTCTCAAATTTAGCGGAAATGGCTAAGATTTCTGCTTATTTGAAGGATCAGTCATATGAAAGTTATATTTCGGTATGGAGAAGATGGATAGATTATATCCAAAAAAAATATGGGACTGAAAAGTTCCATTTGGCTTTTGGGTAAAATTTTAAAATATTCTTATTGTTATTATTTTATTAAGTGCTTGTATGTATATTTTATAATAGTTTGTATGATTTTATTATAAGTTTGATTAGTAGTTTTGTTTACTAGTTTGTTTGTTTTTTCTTCTTTTAATAATGTATTTAATTTTAATTTTAACTTATTTAAATTTGTTTTAAAAATGAGTTAAAGTGTGTTATAGATTTGGTTATATAATTAGTTGGTTTATGTTATTTAGATTATGATTATTATTTGTAACCCTGTGAACAGCTCTGGGAAGTGGGGGGTAGGGGGGTTGTAGTGGTGGGTGGGATTTATATTGTAAACTTTATAAAACTTTTAATAAAAAAGAAAAAAAGAAAAACGTAGAAGGGAATGCCACCAAAAACAGGCTCTTTCACATGATTACAATTTAACGCAACAGGATTAGCTCTACACAGTTGCTTCGTAGAGTTCGCATCCTGATTGGCAGTTTCTCTCTCCTGTTTTTTGCCATCCTCTTCCTCTCTCTCGCTCTCTCTCCCCCTCCCTCTCCCAAGGAAAGACGATAAATTTCTTGGGAGAAGTCTCAACAGAGATACCCGTCTCAATGGTAGCCTATTTTTTTTTCCCCTACTGGGTATTGTTGAGTATTTCCAATCTCAACCATCTATAAAAGAAAAAAAAAGTGATGGAAATCTTATAGGGCAAGTGGTGACTGTTTGTCAAAACAGAGTCCACCACAATAAAAAAAAAACCAATGCTGAACAAAGTCTGCAACGTTGCAAAGTTACACAATAATAAACATTTGTTTTGGAAAAGAGTTTGGAAAAGCAAACAGTAGTCGGATTCTAAATTCATCTAGGTGGGTGCCACTTTTGACAGACTGTTTGCGCTACTGAGAAAGTTACTTGGCTAGAAATGAGAACCCATTTTGCAACTGGGATTGTGCCCAGTTCTTTAGTACAGGGCTTTTCAACCTTTTCACAGATTGTACCACTTTTAGGACATGACAATATTTGAGTACCACCAGTGCTTAGCAAGCTGCCAAAAAATTGATGACTTAAAAAAAAGGGGGGGTTGGGTTTTTACTGATTAGATTCATTCGTTGTTATAGAAACGGCTATTTTATAATATTATGGAAAAGTAAAAAGTTGAGGTTCAATGTTAATGCTTCCTTCTACTGCAACAGAGGAAGTCTGTTCTTT